GCGGCTCTTCTGGGCAGTCTTAGTCCAGAGACACCAGCCAGCACTCTGGGAGTGAGGAAGAAAAAGTTCATATCCAAAGTACAAGACTTTCTTTCTAATCCAGAAAGAGAGAGCGCTGCATTAGACTGCAGAAGAAAAATCCCTGAGCTAGTAAGAGCATCGCTTTGGTTATGGGCAATATTCACACCCAACACGAAAGGTGGGAAAATACTGTGCCTGAGGAAACCATAACCTCACTGTTCATCCTGCCCCGGCCTGGCCCCACTAACTTCACTCAGCTGTTGCTTGCAAAAGCTGCTGTGAGAGCAGGAATGTTACACACAGCTGGCTTTGGATGCTGGGAGCCTGTCTGAAGTTTAGGAACAATCTGTGGCTGGAAATGATGGTTAGCAGTGGGATTTCCTGACCTACTCTCTCCATAACTAGTGCTGAAATGGGGTTAGCTGATAGATTTCTGCCAGTGCTTGAAGAGGAGTGAGAGATTAATGCTATATATATTGGGTTATTGCTGTATGCTTTACTATATTATATATTCTATTTTTAGACTATTACTGTAAAATCTCATGCCATAGCTGAGCTGATTTAACAACAATATAGCTCTGCCCTATATCACATTAAGTGCCACTGCCAACAAGCTTACACTGCTTTTTCTGCAACTGTATTGAAAATACCCCTCTGCACTGAGCAGCTTTTAATAAACAGTTAGCAAAGTGCCAGAGGCTGACAAGCATTTTCAGCAAAACATCACAAGCCAAGAGGCAGTTCCAAGAGGTGTGAAATGGTGTAGAAATTAGTAGCAATAGTGTTGTATTCTTTTTCCAGACTTATCACACAGCAACACTCTGCATTCTTTGTATAGGAAAGTGGTAGCACCTCTGTTAAGCGTATTTTTCAGGCACTGAAATAGGATGCTTTCCTGAAGCTATATTAATATTATGGGATAATAGACTTTAAGATTAGGAAAAAAAAAATCATTTAAAAACCTACTCTACAGCAAAGAAGGGACCAAGATTTCTTTGTCAACAAAATAAAGAAAAAATCCAAGTGGACAGTTGAGGTCTTTCCCCCTCCCTCTTTATTTCTTTTTTAAAGAGGACACAGAATCTTGGAATGGTTTGGGATGGAAAGGACCTTAAAGACCATCTAGTTCCAACCCCCTGCCATGATTTAATCTTCCTATATTTCAAAAGGAGCATTTTTCTTAGTGGTTACATTTGGAAATTCACTGCAGTACTTCCATGCATCTGTAAAATAATACTTACAGAGTAAGAGCTTGAAACCTGCACAGGAGTTGTATCAATATCTGAGCTTCACCACTGTCTTAAAACCACACCCAGCCTCAGCCCAGCTCTGAAAGGACTTTGTCCTTTTTGATGATTCTTTTTTACTTTAATAGGAGTTAAGATTGGCTTCTTAAAATCCCAAACAGTTTAACCCCACCAAATTTAGGAGTTGAAAAATAAGTATTATCATGCCCAATAAGAGGTACAATAACTGGCATAATTGTAAGGCACTAAATGTAAACATACAGGAAAAGAATATGTACACTCAGCTACTGGAGATGACAGCCGCAGCTGTAACCCACATCTTCAGGAATTTCACCAGTCAACAAATTCAGTATTTTATAGTTACATGCCCATTTTCCCAGAACAGTCTCCTCTCTTTAGAAAGGGTGAAGGGATGCTTTGAAGTGTAGGAGGACAGTGACACCTCAGTGAAGGCAGCCCCTTCAAAGGGCAGTAGCAATGAGAGAGTTGGAAGTGCTGCAGGGAGTACAGGCAGGAATGAAAAGTCATCCTGTGCCCCATACTGTGCCTCTCAAGAGAAGGACTGTCTGTCAGGAGCTATGGAAAGAAAATGCTGGGCTTCATCCATGGAGACAGGGAGGACTGGCTGCAGCACAATAGGAAAATCAGACAGTGGAATAGGTGGAGTCTCCAAAAGATCAGTTGGCAAATGCTTTTTCACCTCATAAAGATGAAGCAAAGCCTTGCCAGGTATCACAGAATCATAGATACCTGGCAGTTTCAAAGGAACCTCCCCACTTCCCTGGTTGATTATTCTAATGTTTGATTGTTCTCTAGCTAGTGTCTCATGAAACCTCAGTCTACAGGAAGGAAAGTGGAGCTAGCTCCACACAGACCCTCCAGAGAATGATGACCCTTCATCATCATCCCTGAACTAGACCACTCCATTTCTTTTCAAACAGAAGATGGGGCATTTTGTCTCAATCACTCCTTTGAAAAAACCCAGCATTAAACCTCTGCACTTCCAGGTCTCACTGCAACCAAGCTGCAGAAAGAAATAAACCCACGCTGAATCCACTAGATATGTCCCCAGTGGGGGCACAGCAAAAACACATGGGGGACTCACAGCATCCTGAAAGAACTCCAGAGACAGGTCACGGAAGGCCACCATGTGATGATGGTTCTCAGAGTTACCTTGCAGAGAAGGGATCAAGCAACCACATGGAAGTGACCATTACCTTCCACTTTAGTGTTATGCGTTAAAAAGCAGTTGCTGCAGAAAGTTTCCCACAAGAAGCTCTTTTGATTCCAGAATTGCTCCACTAAGAGAAAACTTAAGAGTCATCATTTTTATTCTGGCTTTACGTTATGGATTTTTGCCTGGGCAGTGTTCAATCAGGAACAAAATCTATTTAAAGTACATGCACAGTATGTATTATACATATGTATATATTATAAGGATGCTGGGGAGGGACTCTAGTGATAGGACAAGAGGTAACGGGTTAAAACTTACTTAAACAGGGGAAGTTTAGATTGGCTATAAGAAGGAAGCTCTTTACTGTGAGGGTGGTGAGGCACTGGAATGGGATGCCCAGGGAAGTTATGAATGCTCCACCCCTGGCAGTGTTCAAGGCCAGGTTGGACAGACCCTTGGGTGACATGGTTTGGTGTGAAGTGTCCCTGCTCATGGCAGGGGGGTTGGAACTTGATGATCTTAAGGTCCTTTCCAACCCTAACTATTCTATGATTCTATGATTCTATTATGCACAGATGTCAGGGGAAGGGAAGAGGTTGTGATATTGTACAAAAAATATAAATAAAAATGATTTTTCAGAGAACCTAAGGAAAACATAACACTGTAATTGAGGCTATGAGGTCCTAATCCAGTTTCCCAGCTGGTCAAATGGTGAGGCCAAGAATATATTAGTTTGTCCTGAAGCAAAAGCAGACTGAGAGGAAGCAACATTACCCAACACAACCTTGTGACTTGGGTTTTCAAAACTGCTTCTAAAATAATTATCATCCCCCCCCCCCAAACCCTATCAAATCAATCACAAGAACAGTGGGACAACAGGATTAATAGCAGATTATACCCTATATGTACTATATGCCCTGATTCTGTTTGCAAGACCTGAGAAAGAAGAAAGCCTACCTGCTTCCTTGCTGTGTGCTGTGTTTTTCTTTAAAGAAATGCTAGCTTCTATTAGCAGAAGACAGACTGAGTAGTGAGATAACCCTGCAACAATGTGATTTGCTTCCAGAAACTACTCCTTCTAGGCAGCATTCAGCACAGATGTTTCAAGTGTGCATTAGATCCAGGCTCAAGGTAAAATACCAAGGGAAACATCACATCATCTTCAGCTTGTTCCCTCGCAGTGTTGGCCAAGAAGAACAATGAAGGCAATTGGTGTACCAGTTAGTCCGTGTGTGCAAAATATTCAACATGTAAGCATAGAAGGAAAAAAGAAAAGGCCACAACAACCTTTTAAAAGAACATGCATCAAGCTTTGTTTCTTTCCCAGTGCAAAGGAATGGAAACCTTCTCACTGACTTCAATGGGAGCTGGGCCAGACCCTGGAAGTCTTCACATAAAACTTCCATTAAAGAGAAGTTGTGTATTGGCATAAGATATTTATATTTTATCCCCTGCTTTTTTCCTCCTGGTAAACGGCATGCAGCACATAATGTCTAAAAATTAAGCTTGTATTACAAAGACAGCTTTCTGAGGCTTACAAATGCGTTAAACATAATAGCCAAAACTGAACACTGAAAGAGCATGTATAAGAAATTACCATATTTTGGTTTTTTTATGCATTGAGTTCATTGAAGAGGTCTATAACAACCAAAATCTACCATATAACATATGTTTACCATATAACATGACAAATAATAGCAAAGTGTCATTGGTGCAATGGACCAAGTTATTCCCATACTTTGCAACTGTTGTACTACTGTTTTTAATATTGCTCTTACAGCTTGCAAAGCAAAGCTCCAGCAGAAAGAGAAATGATTGTGAAAAGCAGGAGCAAACAGAATGTTGTTATGCTTGTACAGCTCCCATTTTGCACAAACCTTTTCACATTACTCAAGCTCAGACAGCTTCTGAGGCGATCAGTTTGTAAAACCCTCAATTCAGTGTTCACATTTCAACAACTTTATCTCTAAATGAACCCATACCAATGAAAATATCTATGTATTCCAATTTAAATGCAAAGAGACTGGCTCAAAATATTCACCTGACTCCACACAGATGAAATTAAAAGCACTTCTGAGCTCCTGGATCTAGCGGTGTGCCCTGGCTACAACCCCAACTTGCACCAGGATGTGAGAAAAGAACAGCCTTGTTCTCAATTTCAATGAAGAGAAAACCTAAGAGCTGAGATCAGATCACTAGGATTGCTGAGTGCAGAGTGGCACTACTCAAACTAGAGACATTGTGTATATCAGCACCACTTGGTACCCTACCAGTTTCCAAACCGGCCTCTTAATACCTTAATACCTCAACCAAACAGTCTTTCTTTTTCATTAACGTACCCCAAATAACAGTGCTGTGACTTCTACACAAACGCAGAGCATGTAATTACATAGATCAAACCCACAAAATTAAAACTCAGTAGAGCTTGGAAGAAACTCAAGCCCAGCATAACCAAAATAACTTACACATCTCAACAGTGTGGACCAGGATGCCCCGTGTCCCTACATCTTGCAACTAAATTGTTAAGAGACCTACTCAGCAACATTAGCCTTTCTTACCTTTTGCCACATTTTGATGAAGAAGAGCTCTCCAGAAAAATTGAAGAAAACATTGGTGTCATAGGCATCATCCCCAACGTTAGAGATGGAAATGTTAAGTGAGATGTTCCTCACCGCTCCCAGGGCCAGGTAGGCAGTTCTGTCATCAACACTGTAGGCAGAAACAGTTACACTGGTTTAACTCTAGGCAATTTCCACACTCTGGTCCATCTTTCTTCCTGCTATGGAATTGTCACAACTCAACCGCTTAAAAGCTTGGTAGTCAGTAATTCAGGAATGTGCTCTCTGGCCAATGCATAGTGCAGGTGTGGGTGTGTGTACTAGGAATGAGCAGCTCCTGAGTCATGGATCTGACACTGTCTTTTGTGACTGTAAGGAAACCCCACGATCCTCATGTGGAACTGTTTCACATGACTTATTGTTAATATGGTTTTAGTGAGAATATAATAGCTGAAGACTGTAAAGTAACTGAACAGGGGAAATGCAACAAGTTCAAGATAATATGCCCACATTCAAACACACAATCTGTTTCAGTTTGTCCCTCAATAATTCAAACTTATTCTAACATTCTAGTAACTTCTTAGAGTTATGCTATGGATAGAAAAAAACGTAAAGAGAGCAAAATAAAATACAGAAACAGGTGTAAGTGAAAAAAAATGTACAGAAATTGCAACAAATGTCCACTAATCTCTCTTCAGGTGTTTAAGCTGGACCTAACCCAATGGAATCATCTGTGAGGGGAATATCTATGCAATAGCTGAATTAAAATAACAGATATATATCATGAATCAACACACTATTGTAATATGGCATCACAGATTACGAACACAGACAGATATGCACACAGAGGCAAATATAAATATGCATCTATGCATATACATATTATTCAATATTTAATCATACTCGGCTGTCCAGAAGATGAGCTAACAAGTAGGAATAAATACTAAATTACAGTATCAATGCACACATCTGCAGACCTGGGAACTAAAAGTATAGTAAAAGATAATATGGAATATACCAGTAGAAATGTAAATATAAGAAAAAATAGCCAAAATATCAAATTGGCTACTGGAGTCTCAGACCATTCTACATCACAGAGAAAGAGATAGTGTCACAGAGAATACAGCAAGTAGCTGGTCAGAAAAGAGCGGAGACCTTCAGCCACACAGCAGGGAGGTGGCTCTCAATTATTTCCTATAGGGCACAGCCAGCCCAAAAGTACAAAGGAACCATCTCTAAGGAAAAGTACCCTCTCACACGGCCCTGCCAGGTGCCGTTACACAATACACATGCCTGCAGCAGCACACAATGACACACAGCAATCAGTAGCTGGCCAAACCACTTTCCATTCACCCAATTTCCATGAAAGAATGGCTGTGCCAAGGATGTATATGCTGCCACACACTGCTCTTCTGCATATCAGCAACTCTAAAAATGTTTTCCCAACATTATAGTTTATTCTCGGAGTCAACTATCAGTGAGAATAAATATTTACAAAAGCATATGCAGCGCAGGATCAACTGCAAAACTAGTTTGAGAGGTGCAAATGGTTTGAGTTACTGCTTCTTATATACCAAATTAATGGCACAACCATACAAGAACACTTGGAAGCTTTTAAACTTCAACATTTACAGCAGAAAAAGCAGACAAATTATGAAGATGCTGAACAATCTGCTGGGATTTCCTAATTATCAAAAGTGCATATTTGAAAGCAATGAGATAAACCAGTAATTTATTACTGCGAATTATTTCTCATGTACTTTATAATCTCACTTCTTGCAATCACTTCAGAACTTACTCAGCACCTATCAAACTCATTAGCAAAATCTGGAACCACCGCTTCAGTAAGCAAAGGAGCACTACAAGGAATTTGTCTTATGCTTTATCTCATTTATCTTTTATTTGACACTAAATGCAATGTATGCTACAGGATCCTCCCTGAATTGGTAATAGCGGCACGTAGAGATCTAACCTCAAGTCAAGACAATCAAGAATATTCTTCCTACTGAATAATAAAAAATACTTAAAATTAAATCCTATTTACAACTAAACCCACCAAAAAAAAGGCAAAATAAGCACCACTGCGTTGTTACCCTTTTCCAAAGCTACCACTCCTCTGTTAAAAGTACATCATACCAAAATGATGGTTCTAACAACATTTTCCTTAGCAGAGAAAGAAAACCTGCTTCCTAAGACCACACTGCAGTTGCTCCTATGCAAAATTCATACACTAAGAAACTGAAAAACCTCACTGATTTTAGGCTGGTTCAGTTCTTCCTCTAAAAGGCTGTATGAGATTGTGCTGCAAGTCTCATTTTAAGAGAGCCAGCTTTCTGAATCATTAAATCTGTGTACATCTGGAATGAGTCAGGTTCACTTGCAGTAAGAAGAGGATTAGTAATCTCCCTGTTCACAGGGGAGTTCCCAGGCCCTGTTTGCTGCTTGAGAGAAGCCAACGTCATGGGGTGCAAACAGGCTGCTGGGGTGCTGGAGCAGCTCTACTGCCAAGCCAGTGCCATCCTCCTCCAGTGCCTGCTGTACATTAAGTGGCCTAGCTGCAACATCAAAATATGTCAACTAAAGAACTGTTGTCACCTGCCAGAAACAAGAAAACAAACTAAAGCCATCCCTTCACCTCGATATGTCAAACAACTTAAGAAACATAATTAAGTAATAGCTTTCAATTTATGTTTTGTTGGCTGAGAACTATAAAGCTGCCAACATTCTCACCCTGGCCCTTGTAACCTCGTTTACATCAAGGAGCTAAATATAAAAAGACACAAGGCTAAAAATAAAAAGACACAAAAAAAAAGGAAAAAAGAAAAAGGGGGGGAAAATACCAAGATGTAATCATTCAGTTGGATAGAACACCACTATTTCATTACATCAGGAACTACGCACAAGCACTATGCTGAGTAAAAGTTCTGGGTAGACTGTAGATGCATATATACATCGTATATAGGCAAACACATTTGTACACACATATGTACATGAAGGCACAAGAAGGATGTAAAGCTATCAATAGTTACTTGAAAAGTCTGACATTTGGAAGTACTAAACACCTGCAGCTTTCATTTCCACGACCCAGACTTACAGGTAGCAAGCAATTCTGCTGCGCTTTTGATTTCACTGGCCATGGTACTACACATCAAATGTAAATAGATATAGTTGATGTTTTCCTCGTAAGTGATTAAGAAAAGGGAACTAAATTCTGGGATAAAGCAAGTGTCATCTTTTTGCATGCTCAAACGTTCTTTTTTAATACCTGCACCACATCCTTGCACTATGGTCAGCAAGGGAAGAAAGACCAGCTGGGAAAGGCACACTGAAAAGATCTGCAATTTTCATTTCCCCACCCCCAAAAATGCTGGTGTTTTTATTAACGTGGGCCAAGGGAGACATAATCCACATTCCAAAAGGTACTCGGGGACATAGTGCTCTATTTCCTGCACTAGAGAGAATTTTTGGTAAAAAATGAAAAAGCGTTCAGCACTTCCTCTGAGCCTGCACAGACCATGCATAGTGCAAGGAATGGGATGGGGTCGCACTTACCCTGTTAGTCTGGGTCACCAACTTTCTCTGTTATATTAGGAGCCTTTCTTTACAGTGAATCAGCACCTATATTGATAAATCACCGCTACTGCTCAATGGACAGTGGAAGTTACAGCTGAGGCTTGAGACTGCAAGTGCACAAGAATGCTTTGAACAACTGAAGTCCAATCTGTCCTCCAGCTCCATCAGATGCAACCATCGCACCTTTCGCTTGTGAATTAGTAAGGGGTGTGAGTCCACAACATTGGTCCTGTGACAGATCCAAACAGATTTCTACCTTCACCAACCAGGATTGCAGTTGTTTTTCACAGTTCCTGTAGTACTTGAATATGATTTTGTCCCCACAGACTCTTTACCTTTCTCCTGAGTTTTTAGCACAGGCTACAGGGCAGTTGAACTCTGGGAAGCTTTGCAAATACTTAAACCTCAAAGGCCAATGAAAAGCTGAAATCCTGAGCTGATCTGGGAATTCTTTTGGTGTCTCACTGGAAAACTGAGAGGTAGCAGCCCCACAAACAAACCCAAACCAAGTAAAAATTTTAAACAACCCCACAGGGAGCAAAGCTATTGACAGGCTAAGAGAGCTGGGTTTGTTCAGCCTGGAGAAGAGAAGGCTCTGGGGAGACCTTATAATAGTCTTCCAGTACTTAAAGAGGCCAGCAAGAAATCTGGAGAAGGACTTTTTACAAGGGCCTATAGTGACAGGACAAGGGGGAATGGCTTTAAAGCTACCAGAGGGGAGAATGAGACTAGACATTAGGAAGAAATTCTTCCCTATGAGGGTGCTGAGGCGCTGGCACAGGGTGCCCAGAGAAGCTGTGGCTGCCCCATCCCTGGCAGTGTTCAGCTCCAGGTTGGATGGGGCTTGGAGCAACCTGCTCTAGTGGAAGGTGTCCCTGCCCATGGCAGGGGGTTGGAGCTGGATGAGCTTTAAGGTCTTTTCCCACCCAAACCATTCTATGATTCCATTCTATGGTTCCATTGGATTTTACACTGCTTGGTTACGTTGTCTTGACATTGCATATGCATGCAAGTTCAATTCTCTCTGCAAAGTTCACAGCCAACCTAGACTTAGGACTCAGCCAGACACTCAAGATTTCATGGCTTATTCTGCATTAGCTGAGCTGCTGCCTTTCCCCTCTCACACTGAAGCCTACGCTAAGCAAAGGTACTAAGAGACCTCATGTGGTTGATGGCTACAGCCTGAGATGCACTAAGCCAGCTATTGTAAACTAGCTCGGAGACCATCATATTGTTTCATTAATGATCTTTTCTACGTCTCAAGTGGAAACCTTGCAGTGTGCTCTTAGTAGCAGACAACATAAGGTGATGAACAACAGAGAATTCAAGGTACGGTCAACCAAGGTTCTGTGTCAGCAGAGCACAGTTTGGGAGCAATATCATACCAGTGTTTCTCCCTATGAAGACTGACTAACAATGTGCCAGTGTTTCCTCATTGGAAGGGACCGAATGTCCCGCATGAAAGAAGCACCTACTGCAGTATGCCCAGGACCAGGACGTGGAACTGCTCCTGCTGGCAGTCTTCTGGAGCAGAGCTGCTGTCTCTAGCCCTTCACTTCCCATATATATTGCAGTTCA